ACGGGGAAGGAGTTACCTGAGCGAGGTGCCTGTCATCCCTTCGGTGGGGGTGGGGAGGAGGAGGGAGCAGCGATGTTGGGAATAGACACAGGGACACGCAGGGACACACGGGCACAGGGACAGGCAGGGACACACGGGCACTCCCCGGGGAGCTGCTGCAGGCACCGGCCCCGGAGCTCTTTGGGGAAAGGCTGGACGTGGCTCTCGGTGCCGTGGTCTGGTTGACAGGGTTGGACTCGATGATCTCGGAGGTCTTTTCCGTCACGAATGATTCCCTGGTTTCATGTTTTAGTAGCCGGCCGCGGCCTTTCAGGAATTCAGCTTTGTGTTCTGGTGGAACTGGAGCTGTGCTGGGATGCGCTGGGCGCTCCTCTGGAGTGGCCACAGTTCCCTCCCGCCGCCGCGGCATCACAAAACGCGTTTTAAAGTGCTGCAATTCGAAATTTAGAAATTAGGGAATCTCAGTCGCCTTTGAAGTTTTGGGTTTAGCCCGTCCAAAGACCACGTAGGGCTTCTTTGATCATGTCTCTAGATTGCTTCTGTTACTCAGTTCTCCTATTACCCCACAGCCATCGGGGGAAATGAACATTTATTGTTATTTAAAATCAACGAAGGCAGAGTAACTGACTCCAAAATAAATCGACAGGCGTGTTTTTGACAACCATCCTGGTTGAATCCGAATGAGAGCGTGCTGGTAACTTTTGCCAGTGGATGGAAACTCCATCCACTTGCAGTCACACTGAGGTGGATTGAGTTTTCATGGGGGCCTGGGTTTGAACAAGTTAACAACTTTTTTTTTATTATCTTATTGCTGTTTTCCTTACCTTTTCCTCAAGAAAGGTGTGTGAAGTTGAAGAACACTTAGATGATATCTGGTGATAAATTAGGAAACATTTAGTTTCTGGCAGTGTTTAATTCTCTGCCTATAACCAAGCAGAATTTAACCTCCCTCCTTGGAATAGTCTGTAGCCCTAAAAAGTTTTGGTAAACTTGTTTCTCTCTTTCTCCACGCCGCCCTTCCCCCAACCTCTGTAGGTTGGATATTTTTGGAAAATTAATTATACTTTATAGAATTAGAATAATAACACTGAAAATAACTCTGAGCTAGTATTTGTTAACTATTATCTATATATATTTGGTGTGTGTATATATAGATACTTTTGTAGGCTACGCTTCATGTTTTTGGCTTACATGAATTATTTAGAACTAGACTTTTTATTTGCAGTCTGAAGTAGAATATGTGTGTGAAGTGTTAAATTTACATTTTTCTGCTGTGAATTAAAAATTCCATCCAAGTTTATGAAGCTTATTGAGTTTAATTCACGGCTTTGGAATATTCCTTGGGTGAAGAGTATATCTTTGAACAAGTATATCTTGAAGAGTGTATATATCTTTGAAGAGTATATACTTTGAACAAGTATATCTTATTCAAAATTGAGGAGCCAGCCGGGTTTTCTTAAGCCAGGAGGGCAATAGGTCAGGAGTTTGATATTGTTTCCAGGCCTACAGGTAGGGTGGTTACAGGAGCAGCGAGTGTTACAGTTCCTGCATCCATACTGGGCTGCATTTGGGACTTGTCATTGGCGTCCCCTCCCCCAGCTGGACAGTGACAAGGATAATTTTACCTGATGGCAGCCAAGAGTTCTCCCTTCAGCGCCGATTTACGGGCAGGGTTCCCTCGCTGGTGTGAAACGCCGGGAGTGGATCCAGTTGGGGGATCTGGGGGTGCTGCAGGGCGGGATCAGCACCTGGCGGCCGCCGGAGCCTTGTGCAAAGGGCCCGATGGTTCGAACAAAGCAGCGGAGCCCCAGCGGGGTCCGGGCAGGCCGTGCCTCGGTGGGGCTTCTCCAGTGACATTTAACTGGGACACCCTTGCTTCCATGTGCCACCTCTCCGAGGCGCGTTTGAAACTGGACCACCTGCTCGGATGGTATGTGGAGAGAATAAACACTGCAAAACGCAGCTTTTATTTGCCGTGCAGGCATTTCACAGCTTCAGCTCAGCTCGACTGGGTGCTGATTTGAAGGCTAGAAACAATTGGTACCAAAAAAAGCCCTTTTTGTTGCTATAATTAGATTATCTTTTGGGAGTTCCTCTGCAAAGCTGCTCGTTTCAGGTGCTTTGAGCCTGGCTGTGGGGCTGCAGGTTGGGAGCTGTGTGAGTTTGTGGTTTGGGGTGGGAATTGCAGCCTGGGATCTGTTCAGCCTTTCCATGGTCACTGAATGCCATTTGGTGAGCTGTTCTCCACATGAAAGTACAAAACTTTCTGATACCTTTATATTATGGGAGTTGTATAACTTCTGAAATCCTTTTGTAAATTGATTTGTTGTTGTGGAACAGGATTATTTACAGAGAACTGCTGCTTTTGTCTTTATAACTGAGTACAATACATGATTTGTTGAGTTTACAGTTTCATCTCTGCAAAGAGCTTGATAAGAAATACATTTTCACAAGAATTATGTAATAACTTTCTGGCTCCTCAGACTCTGATATTTATGCAGGGAGAGTTCTTTTTTGTTATTTGTTATTATTTTTATTATTTGAAATAATACCAAAACCCTCTCTGAGCCAGCTGCTTTTCTTGTGAGCTTCTGAGGGGAGAAAGAAGTAATCAGGAGAGGGGAATGCTCTTCCTTTTCCTTGGGAATGCTCTTCCTTTCCTTCCTCACCTCCACGGGTCCTTCAGGAGAGGCTTCTGGGAACTGTAGTCTTTGCATGCCTTCAAACCCCAGGGAAACTCTGGAAAATCAGGAGTGCTTCCTTCCACAAAGATTTGCTCCATATGTGGAGCTCCCCAGTGCTGGCTCTTCAAGGTGACACAACACACCAGTGGAATTGCAGTGATATCCATTGCTTTATCATCTTTTGGGGAAAAAAGGTAAAATTCTGCATTTAATTATCATTTAATTCTTATTTATCCCAGAATGATGGGAACATATCTGGGCTGCTTTTGCTGGTACCAGTGGATTTCATTCCCTCAGAGCAGGGCTCTGCTGTGTCCTCCTCCTTGGTGTGGCTCACTTGGAAGGGAATTGGCTTTATCATCTCCTTATTTACTCCAGAGTGTTCTGTCCTTAGGATTTTTGGGGAGAGTCCCCTCTGAAGGGCCAGGGAAATGTGGGAGACAATTCCCAGCAGCTCTGCCTGCACCCATCCAGTGGGAAACTGGTGTGAGAACAAAACCCGGGAGTGAAATCCCAGCTCTGGTTTTTGGACAGCAGGGAAATGTTTCTGTCACTGCAGCACCACGGGCTGACACCTATTTGTAAACATTCTCCAGGCAAAGTTTCCAGCTCTGGGTAGCACCAAGTACCTGAAAGTGAAACTGAGTAAATGAAAGTAAAATTAACTCCATTAATGTCAGTTTTGTTCCAGCTGGGAGAGACCAAGCTTTCAGTTGCTGTTACATAAAGTTCCAAAGCCTCCAAGCATTCCTTTTCCCCCCCTTGTTCTTTTCCCCCAGAGGCAAATAAAAATAGACTGTGTTGTGAGTCAGTTAAAGGAATAGTTAATAATACATTAATACCTCTTTGTGTTGAAAAGTTTCCTCTTTCTTTTTGGTAACTGTTTGGATGGTGAAATGAGAGAGGGATGGAAATGTACAAATTGATTTCTGATGGCAGAGTCATTCCTTCAAAAAATAATGGGAATAAAATGAGAATGAATTATGTGGAGTTACTGGAAAAAATCAAATTAGTGGGATGACTAGTTCACAAAAGCATAAGTAAATAATTTTAATAATTAAATGGAACTTGCCAGTGAAACTTTTAAATCTTAGTGTCCCAAAAACCTGTTGTTCACTGGTTTTGTGGTTTCCTGACTGCAAACACATTTCATTCCAAATCCCCATTCCCTGAGTGTGTTCAGCTCATGGTTTGTGCTTCTGAGAACTCCATAAATGCCAATAACTCATTTACTGTGCTGCTGTTGGAACACCCAGCATCTCCTGGGCAGAGAGAGCAGCTTTGTGCCCCTGCTCTCAGCTTGGGTTAAAACTCAGGGAAGGGTTAAAAGAGGAGAGAAATGTCAGGGAAGTGAATGTGTTGGTGCTTCCTCAGCTCTGCATTGTCCTGGTCACTGAGAGCTCCCTCCCACTGATCCCTGCCCTGTCTGTGCAGCTGCAGCTTTTCCTGCTCACAGCTCTAGAACCACATTTATTCCAGTTTTAAATGCAGTTTGAGCAGGACTCAGCCATGAAATACATGGAGAGGGTGTGTGGTCACAGACAAATCAGTTCCATCCACTCTTTCAACATCTGATTGATACTGGAAGCTCAGTAACTTTCCAGGATCATGATTCTGGCTTCTTTATTGTTATTCTTTCCAACTTGTGGATAATTAGGCATTAATGCAATGCTGTGCCAGAGTTAGTGTTGGAAATACATTGATTGCTTTGTTAATGTTACAAGATCTTGGGAGTTTGCATTGCTATAGAAGTTACTCATAAATACAGCAAACACTGGGTCAGGGTTGTGGAATAACAGCTCAATGCACATTTTTCACCATGCTGAGATGTTCCTCAGCTTGGAATTCTGTGCTCTTGTACTTGGGGTGACTTTGTGTCAATGTCACAGTGTTCCTTCAGAAACTGAGATTGTTGTGGCAGGGCCTGTGCAGGAGCAGGAGCATTCCTGCAAATGCTGGGGGGATGTGTGATTGCAACTGTGGATCTCTGTGTTCCCAATAAAATCACATTTTTCATGGAATCCCAGGATGGTTTGGGCTGGAAGGGACATTAAAGTGCCACCCCTGCCATGGCAGGGACACCTCCCACTGTCCCAGGCTGCTCCAACCCCAGTGCCCAACCTGGCCTTGGGCACTGCCAGGGATCCAGGGGTGGAATTCCATCCCAGCCCTGCCCACCCTCACAGGGAGGAAATTTTTCCTAATATCTGATCTAAACCTGTAATTTTTCAGTGTGCAGCCATTCCCTGTGTGCTGTCCCTGTATCCCCTGGCAATTGTCTCTCTCCAGCTTTCCTGGGGCTCCTCCAGGCCCTGCAAGGCCGCCCTGAGCTCAGCCCAAAGCTTCTCCTGTGCAGGTGAGCAATGCCAGCTGTGCCAGCCTTTCCTGCCAGCAGAGCTGCTCCATCCCCTGCCCATCCTGGAGCCTCCTCTGGGCTCT